TTAGTTCATGCGGGGAATATCCTCCTGAGAATATGAGTGTTTTATCATCACTACTACTAGCTTACATCGTAGTCGAATCGAACAATAATCATCTCCTGTCACGCTTCAGACCTGTCACACTGAAATTGCAAATAATCATGATGCTTATAAATTACAGTCTTTTTAATGATCTGTCAATAATTATTCAATCATATGCGAACTTGCTTCTTAATCGATAAAAACAACAAGAAGAGAGGAGGATTTCTGTAATTGAATTGTTGGTTGTTGAATAATATTAATAGCATCGAGTAATGAAATCGCGGTCTAACCTCTTTTTCGCCAATTATTTAAAAAAATGGGAACTATAATATTACACAATTGCAAGTAAACATTGCTATGGAATATTATTTACTCACCAATTCAATAAAGATCACTGCTGACGAAAATATGTAATAAAATCCAATAACACATACGAAAATTGTAGAAACTGTAGAAACGCAACAAATCGTGACGTCGATTTTTTACTGTTTTCGAGAATGGGAACATTTCTCCAGATGACATCATCTAGGAATCCTAGTAATATTACCTTACTGACTGGCAAGAAGAAGACATATGAGAAGACAGCCATAGTTACTCACTGCACAGACATCGAATCTACGAGTACACGTATGGAAGGACCGTTTACAAAAGCAACTACGAACCTAATACGGAAGAAAGCAGAGAATTAAAATAAATTTCCGACGACTTTTGCGATATTTTTCATTTTAGAGAACGATGTCTTATCTTATACTACTGCTGTAAAACATGACATTAATATGCGTACCGATAGATAGTGCTCAGACATATGTAAGACCGTATAAGCTATTAATATGCTGCTTATATTATTATATAAGCAGAAAATTATAAGGAAGAAGCAAATTTCAGGTGTGATCGAAGGTATTGCTAAGTGATCGCAAAATCGCAAAATCGCAATTATCACTTCACATTTATTTCTTAATACACAGGAGATCTAACAGAGTTGAAACGATTAGAGTGTTTGACTAGTGAATGATCATTAGAATATTTGTTAAAAAATTCCACAATCTTTGTTCGCGATTCCGAAAACACACAATTTCGGTATATTTATGCAAGCAACGGATCGTTTAGAGAAAATCCGCGAGCAATGGACGATCTTTTCCTCTATTTACGACAAAAAGAAAAATGCCCCGTCCGGTGCGCGGTGTTATATTGTGTATATCAGTGTAAAATATTCTCTACCAAAAGTACGCAAGTATGTTTTAGTATGTATATTAGAAGTAACAGTTTTTAATAAACTTATAATCCCTTCTTCTGATTTGCAGGTACGAATATTATTACGTTAATGGAATTTGGTTGATCGCGATTAGGTCCCTTAACGATTTATAAATCTTATCATTATCGATATCAATCGATAGTTGCCGGGATCCACGAGTATTACGCATTGTCTCGCACCTCGAGACATAATCATGAATAATCACACTTTGAGATAGCAGCTCTTGGTGATTCTATTAACTTCGATAATTGCGCTTTCAATCGTGATCAGAATTATCAATTATATAATATATTTGTTATTAAAAAATAATATATTTATATAATATTCAAAATAAAATTATATTATATACAATTATATTAAATATTTATTATTAAAAAATGACAGATCTATTGTAACGTAACAACAATTTTTGTGCATTATTTTCAAGTGTCTGCGGGAAATCTTGCGTCCTCTCAACTCGAAGAGCTGTAACCGCGTAAATGGGCGCGTATGCGAACGCATATGCCAACGTGCGCTATTCATTCATTTGACTGCGTTCATCTATTTTTTCTATAAAGAACTTAATTCTTTTAGTCTCGTATTTAGACTTAGAGTTATCAGTGAACTATACTCGATGGCTCAAATATCGTTTTGTAATTTCGTCGTCTCATCTATCATTGGAAGCAGGAGACAAGAAGGACGAAGGTGCGACACTGGACTTGGAGGACCGCGCAAGGGAGCTCGGATACAAATCGTAGAATCATTCATATTTATTTTATAATTCGTTCTGAACTTCGTTATATCGCACGCTACTTACAAAATGGAGCAATGGAAGGTAAAAACTCTCGGCTACCAGATGAATAATACAACCGCCAGTCGAAGATATAAATATCTCGACATGGAGCTGAAGAGCTTCAGCTAGAAGAACTGAATATCCCATGCCAGCCCGAATAATTTAGGACGCAGGAATCTATGGAAATTTATATTGCGCGCTCTAAGATGCAAGGATTCGCGGCCCGCAAGGATTTATACGATACGCGGGTCCGCGTGATTAACAAGGACCAATTGGCGCATGACATGGCCCCTATTAGAAGGGAGCCGAACTTGAATCCGCGGAAAATTCCCGGCACTCGTTTTGTGGCTGAGTCGGCATTGATTGTAAGAGGACGCAAACTTCCTCGCTGTCAAGAAATTCGAGAAGCAATGAGCTGTTGAGAAGTAGTGAGCTCTTTATAATCAAGGATTGTCGCGATAGGACCAGAGGAGAATATTGGTGAGATAAATGCCGCCACCTTTGTGAAGCTGTCAATCATCGGATTTGTGGCATCGAATGAATCGCGCGTGAAAACTCGCGTGATTTCAAGCAGCCGGTTTAAGCCGCCATCAAGATCCGTGGAACTACTAGCCATGTACTATCCGCTCGAGCCTTGTCGTTAGACAAGAAAATTATTGATTGTCAATTCGCGCTCTCTTGTCACAATTGAGTCATTTTTCGTCTTGTTTTGTATTTTTTGTGCCGTGCTGTAAATTGTGTGTTCGGAGTATTGTTCGAATTCGAGATTGCCCTCGTGGGTTCTTTCTCGCTCGGAACACGAATTATTGTATTGCTGTCGACGGATGTCGGGAATATTTGATCACCATATATTCGCCACCTCCGAAGGTGATCCTTCGGAAAATTAAGATATCAAGTGCAACTGTTGAACCGGCGTTAAAAATAAGTCATAATTGTCGTTCGCGGAAGTAAATCTTGTTAAATCCAAGTTAGGGAGCAAGAATCCAAATATTAGTTGTAACTCGGTTCATTAAATATAATTTTTATTTATTTCATTATTAATTTGTGTGTGGTTCAACCTATCTTCTCCGACAATTTCCTTATCTTTCTTACCCACTCCTGTTGCCGTCGCGAATTAATTGGGAGCAAATAATTTAATGAAGACGAAAATTATTGAAAGAATGGCACGTTCTCTCGTGCCGCCAAAATTATTTAGTGAAAAGCTCGAATAATTGTGAGAATCTGTCTGTCGTGATCCTATACTTATCTCGTACGAAAATTCCTTTAAGCAGTAAAAAGTCACAGAGGACACGATGAAGTTGTAGCTCGCGAGCACGATTTATGATATTTAAAATAAAATTATACAACATATTTTTAGTATAGTCGATTCTTATATTTAACATCGTCTTAAGTTTTATTTTAAGATATTATCTACCAGAGAACCTTATTAATATCTTAGATCGATCTTATTAAGACGATCTTGAAATAAGGATCGATTATGAATGTCGACTTTAAAATAAATATTAATCGAACCATTTGAAATTTTTTATATTTAATAAATCACAAAAATACAGTTAATATAATGATGACTGCGTTCAGCAGATTCAATAGTTGAGTGAGTACTTATTGCCATTAGTGTATAAGCGAACATTTGATCCTTCGAGCCGGATATGTTAGCTTTGGCAGGATGAGACTTGCACATGTAGAGGTTAGAACAGCAACTCGCATTTAATAACCTGATTACCAATGCAGTGCATGACAGTATAAGATCGAGTTAAGTTACTTGAATTCGCAAAGAATACAAGCACGATTCATCGCAAGGAAGATTGGGAGAGATTCTCCATTGTAAATGACGCAATTGGAGTAGCAATAAGAAATCTTAGTTCTGACGATAAGTTGCAAGTTCTTAACCATTCTTATTTCACAGAGAGTTTATTTGCCACTACATGCGAACTTTATTTAGAGATCTCGGAACGTATAATTTTGCTGCTCGATACAGATCGTGGAGCTTCACTTGAATCGTCTTCCGCCCATCTTAATACTTCTACTGGATCGCCACGTTATCATCAAACGAGATTATCTCGTATTGACCTACCAAAATTTAATGGGACTTCGATTGGATCTCTTTCAAGGACCTGTTTACCTCTTTGATAATCATCAATCCTTCTCTTTTTTCTGTTGAGAAACTGCAATATTTAAAAACCAGTTTGATTGGTCCGGCTGCATATTTATTGAAGAATATGGCACTTACTGATCATAACTTTCTCAAAGCGTGCGGCTCTGATTCCTTTCTGACGAAAATAAGAGATAATTGATAAACGCAGCTTTTCTTTACTTGCTCTTAAACGCATGACAAGGGAGTCCGTTACAGAATTGCGATTGTATACAAGTATCATGCAGATACATCGATCTTTAGAAAATCTTCGAAGACCTGTTGGTACGTGAGATGATTTTTCTTATATTAGGTATACAACTTTGCTTCCGCCGTTTTTTTTCCGAAATTCGAGGCTTTATTGTAAAAAACTGGTTATACATTTATGATTCAAAGTATTGTCCATCGCTGGCCATTACTTTCTCCCATCTTTCGGGTAGCGTACGAATCCCGCGTCGAAAAACCTGGTCATCTTTTGAGGCTATCCACGAATCGACCCAATTTTTTACTTCTTCATAAGACCGGAAGTGCTGGTCAGCCAGGCCGTGTGCCATTGATCGAAACAAGGGATAGTCAGAGGGAGCAACGTCTGGAGAATACGGCGGGTAGGGTAGGACTTCCCCTTTCAACGTTTCCAAGTATGTCTTGACCACTTTCGCAACATGGGATCGAGCATTATCATGCTGCAAAATCACTTTATCGTGTCTCTCGTTGTATTGCGGCCGGTTGTCTTTCAATGCTCGGCTCAAACGCATCAATTGCGTTCCATACCGATCGCCTGTGATTGTTCCAGTCGGTTTTAACAGTTCATAATACACTACGCCGAGCTGGTCCCACCAAATACAGAGCATGACCTTGGACGTCAAAATCACCGTTCTTGAAGCGTTGAAACCACTCACGACACTTTCTTTCACTAATAGCGGTCTCATCATAGGTATTTGAGAGCATTTGATGAGCCTCAGTCGCAGATTTCTTCATATTGAAGCAAAAAATTAAAACCTCCCGCAAATGACGAGAATTTGGCTCGTAAACTGACATTTTCAATCGAGAATAACTTTATGATGCAGACACAAATCGACTAATGTTTCTATGGGGTTATGTTGACAGATGTCCAAGTTTATTGTATGACGTCTATGATCTATTTATTTCGACCACCACTTACCGCTAAAGCCATCTATAGGAAAACGGCGGAAGCAAAGTTGTACACCTAATATTTATAATAATTCAGTGCCTCGATTCGGAATTAGTAAAAGTCTGGGAACACCATCTGGACTCAACCATAGAACCACCTACATGGTCTCAATTTACTGAATTCTTAGTATCACGATTTCGTTCTTTTCAAGTCTTTAAGAGATCCCGTTCTGGAAAATATTCGTTTTCAACCGCAATACCTTCGCTAAAGCTTATTATTAAGGAAAGTCTGGTCAAAGAGACTCAAGTCAGGGCTAGATGTTCTGCAAAGCATCATACTTCTGCTTGTTCTCAATATTATGTCGAAATCGATAACTAAAAAAGATGGCACTTATTAATAAGCACAAATTATGCTTTAATTGTCTGGAGATCCATCGAATTGCTACTTATTTAACTTCTAAACGTTGTCTTAAGTATAGACGCAAGCATCATACCTCAATTCACCCTGGATCTGCTAATTCCACCAAGGCCAAGGTGGACAGTGAAATTGTCATGCTTGCTACTACTTCAAAACCTGAAGAAGAACAAGTCATGCATTCCGTCACGGTTTCTACATTCCCTCTGTTTCAAATATTACTACTGCTAATTGGCTACTGCTCAAGTTCGAGTGACGTTCCCTAATGGCAACATCACTACAATAAGAGCCTTAATCGATCAAGGAAATTTCACTAATCTCCAAGAGGATCCAACGCTTGAAAATGACTCAAAAGCATTCGACAATCTCTAGTTGGAATAGATAGTAGGCGCTAATAGAACAAGGGGCAGCTTTGGACTCAGCCCGCATTTTCAATCAGAATTCATGTGTATCGTCACTGCTCATATATTGATGAATCTTACGTCGTTCATTCCATGTGGACATGTAAATAAGAAATTGTGGCCGTATTTGGAAGGATTGTAATTGACTGATTCACAATTTTCGAGTACTGGTGAGATTGACCTTGTCTTGGGAGCAGACGTTTATGGATCTATTATTGTTGAAGGATTAGTAACAGAATTCTCCGATAGCTCAATTCATCAAATTTGGATGGATTATCTCCGGTCCAAAGTGCCACCAGATGACTCTTGACAACGCTCAAAGTTGTCATATGACTACAGGAGAGAATTTGTATTCCATATTACACAAATTTTGAGAACTAAAGGAAGTACCGTCTTCGTGCGATCATCCTTTAATTCTGGATGAACAACAACGTGAAGATCACTTTTGAATTATTCATTCAAGAGTATCATTTACCATATGATCGATATGTGGTCAAGCTATCATTCAAGCAACCCGTTAGCAACCTGATTTTAGAAGAAGATTTTAAAAGAATTTAAGATTTTAAAAGAAAGGTCACTCACCTTATTCACAAAACGATTCAAATCGGACTTTGCTTACGCAAAAATATTCTGACTTCATCGCTAAATACGCAACATTGTATCACATGCAATTAGTGCTTGACTCTGTTCCTGAACTGTCTCATGATTACCTACCTCAGTATGGAGTAATGAGAGAAACTAGTCTAACCATGAAACTATGCATGGTGTTTAAGGTGTTTTAGACTACTTCAACATTAACGGTTGAACGATCTTTTGCACGTCGGTCCTAAATTGCAAACCGAGTCAATGTCTTAATATGGTTCCAATAGTTTCGTTATGTTTTTTCTTCTGATATAGAAAAAAATTTATCGACAAATTAAGATACACCCTGATGACTGGAAGCATCAATGTATTTTGTGTAAAGATGAAGCGAATTCTTTAAAATTACGAATTCACGACAGTTACCTATGGCTAACTTGAGCTCCTTTTCTAGTTTCTCGTGCCTGTTGATCAATTAATAAAGGATGAGGGAAAGACATTTCTGTTAGCAATCCCAATACTTACCTATGGCAGATACGTGGACGATCTGTTGAAGAAGCAGATTCCATGGAGCAAGCAAGAGTTACCGTACAGCAAGTAAATCAACTTTGTATGGCGGGCGGATTTCGACTGCAAAAATGAATCACTAACGATTCTGAAGCACTAAATTCACTTCCCGAGAGAGAGACAAGACATCTCGTTCTTCTGTACTAATTGAGGAGAACCTCATTGTCCCTCGATTTATCTTGACATTTTAACACATATATCTTTCAATTCATCTTTTATATCACGCCAACTGAGAATGTTGCTAAGCGAATCGTTTTGTCTACTATAGCCAAGTTATATTATCCATTCGGATTTTTCTCACCTGTTATCGTAGGAACTAAGATAATGCAAGAAATTTGGACTTTGCGATTAGAATGAGACAATCTTCTTTCTCCTTCTACTGCAAATAAATGAATTTTTGTTTGTTCAATATTTATAGAATTTGTCTACACTCACCTTTCTACGACGGTTAGATTTGAAATCTGATTAATCCTTTGAGATACATGAATTTGCTGCATGGAATGTATCTCTTACGCTGCGGTCTATAGTCATTCGATATCCAGTGATGTCATTTCTACTCAATTAGTTTGTTCAAGAACCAAGGTTCCACCGTTGGGATGAGTGACTGTACCATGCTTGGAGTTCGCGGGAGTGGCTCTCCTCACCAGATTGGTGGCACATTTGGTACAGATTCTGGAATGGAGCAGCATTCTAGTTTGTTGTGAACGGACTTCACCATTATTTGGATCGCTGGTCGTCCGTCCCATTAGAAAGACTTGTTCATAGCAGAGTCTGTTTTGTGCAGGAGTCATTGCCGCGGGCTCAGTAGGGTTTCATGCCGGCCGAGAGAGTCTTGCCAATTTGGCAGTTCGAGAGCTGGTTCCTGCATTTGTCGAGGAGGCGCCCGAGGAGAGGCCTGAGTGGCGAAAACTGGAGTCCGTATTGTCGAGTGTTGGGATTTACTACTAAAGTACTTTATTCTGAATCGATTACTTAGAATCAGCCATTTACTAACGATTAATCAAACGTCTTCAAAGGATTCCTAATTCTTCCTTACTTCACCCAATAATTACTATTGAGTTGCAAGTTGCGAAGCGCTTCTGGAAAAGAAATGCAGAATTCTATTTTTCATTAAAAACTTGAATCCTCCGTCGGCACCATATTTCGATGGAAAATGAGAGGCAGAAGTGAAATCGGTGAAGTATCACATTTAAAAATCGTTGGAGAGACATTGTTGACTTATGAAGAGACTTATGAATACCATTTTTAATCCATTCTTCATCTCCAAATAGAAGCTATTCTTAATTCCAAACTTCTGATTCCTTGCAGTGACGATCCAGAAGATCTGAATATTCTAACGGAGTTAGAACTTCCTCATGGACTGTGCACTCACCGTTATATCGGAACCATCCTTGGAAACTTCGCGTCTTTCGAGATGGCAGTTAATAAGGCATATGATAGATTGTTTCTCGACCAGATGGTCTAAGGAATTTACAGCATTATCACACTATATCTAAATAGAAGGATTGAGTTGATCGATTTAGGTTCCGTGGTGCTGGTAACAGACAAAAGGTATCCTCTAGTAAAATAGCCATTAGAAGGAGTTGTTGAAACTCATCCAGGCGCGTTGATCCGAGTAGTCACCATCAAAATTCACACTTCAATTCTAAAGAGACCTATAGTTAAATTTTGTGCTCTTCCCGTTAACACTGATAATTGGTAATATGATTCGTTAACTTTAATTAACGAAGGCGGGCGAAATGTTACGAACTGTACTATTTAAACTTCCCGCGTGTATGCATTTATCGGCACATGCGGTTGGCGGTGGTGCAGAGCGTGTGCGCTGCCCGGTCCACTGAGTGGCGCTGTGATAGCTTCTTCCTTGTCATCTTTCCCCAATCAAGATCTGCCATTAATATATAAGCACATATTCGTAAGAAAAACGAAGGCCCGAATCGCTTTACTTTACGAAGTGAAACGAAAGTAGTATATCGTTGAGATCCTGATTCTATAAAGTAGAATCATTATATAACTTTGAGGCCCGAGTCGCCTGATTTTATTCTTTGATCGCCGAGGTAAAGAATTACACCTATCGTGCATTGAAAGACGATTCGACGATCACGAGAATTTACGGATAGCGTCATTCGGAAACCATTGAAACATGTTTTTTGGCAATTTTCTTTGTTTCTTGTGGAATATGCCCGAATAAGTATTTATAATAATTTGGTATGCTAAATTGCGCCATAGCGATAAGTCTCATACGCATCTTCGAAATGTTCTGGAACGTGATATATATATATATATATATATATATAT